GCCCACCACAAGGTACCCGCGTACGTTGTTTTTTCATTATAACGCACCAATTCGGTAATAATGGCATAGCAACAGACAGAAAATGCTGCAAAATGGTTACACACCATAAACTTTAATGAAATAGAACCATTTTGAAAGCTTTTGTTTTACCTTAGCCATAAAAGTAAGAATCGGCAGCTTAGTAATGACCTCTGTTATTGTATAAGTAAACTATGTGACGGGACTCACTCTTCGCTAAGTCAAACCAGGAGTCATAGAACACTATCAAAATGCTTACTTTGTCTGTATTTGAATGTGAGAATGATTTTATAATTTTAAAAAATCGCTTTTTCTTGTCTAATAACGGAATAATACATTTGCTTGAAACTTGCACGCCTGACATCACATCTTGATACAGACAACTTTATCTACTATAAACCACTGCACATGCTGCTCATAGTGGACTGGGCCATGAAGTTCATTCCAACCAGTTTTTGGGAAACGCAGCACGACTGACATCTCCAAATTGAAATGAATGCTGTTATTGACCCTTATGGAGTAAATATAAAGTTTGACCTTTGTTGTAAAGATAAAACTCTCTAGTTGTAGCCACAGCAATCAGAGTCACTCCAGGTGCTACCAGTAAAAAGGTATTGCATTTCAAAACACACAGAATTATTATTTTTTTTTACCCTCACCTAACTTTTTTTTGGAAATGAAGGTTCATAAAGCAGCATTAGGTGGTGGGAATGAAAACACACTGTGTGCCAATAGAAAAACTCGTTTTGTACACATACTTCAAATTTGAAAACAATATCTGTAAAATTTAAAATCTGACACCAGTTTTTATGTTGGTATGTCCATGCGTTTTTATAGAGGGACCTTTGTGTTATCCACATCTATCCAAATTGGACACCTCTGAAAATGTATGGAAAAAGTGCAATATCTTTTGAATCCCTGAACCTACAGACATCAATGAGGGCTCTACTGAAAGCTTGTACCCAGAGAAATCCATATCTGGACACAGAGTCATTACATTAGTTGTAGAAATTCATATTTCATCATAAAGAAATAATATATATATATTTTCATATAAAAACAGTCAAAACAAGTGTGATGGGCCAGTGTAAATATATNCACAGAGGTGAGGTAAGAGCTTTGACCTTCAATCTACCACTTTCACTTTAATAGAATTTCTCTTGTTCAAATTCCCAAAGGGGAGTGTGTGTGTGTGTGTGTGTGTGTGTGTGTCAGAGTTCAGTGTGTCGAGGTGATGGCCCTGCTCTTAGATGTGTTATGAATGTGAATGTTGCTGTTGAGAGAGAGAGAAGGGCTGTTAAGCCATGAAGGTGAGGCTACAAGGCTGAAAGGACAAACCTGTCTTCCTCTGTGAAAAAGTCCAGCAGGAACAGCATGTTTCCAGTTTCAGTGGAGCTTCAGCACAGAAAATAGTTACACAATCTAAAACATCCAAAGACAATTTTAAAAGCAGGCCCTCAGAATAGGCTTCTTTCTAAGCTCGTGTTGTACCATTTGATGCAACTTTCAAGAATCATTCAGACCCCCTGTCACTGCTCGGCCAGCGTCACTCCTTGGGCCAGATTCATCCTGACAGTCTAGATAATGAACTGCTGACCTTTTAGTGTCAAGGTTGCTTCTTTAACCTTTTAATCACTATTACTCTGGGCTGTCTGAAGCATACAAAAAATGCAGCAAAGTGTAAATGTACATGACCAAACTAATATTTGATAATGTTTGCTGATGTCCTAAAGAAGGGGTTTTAATAATCCACTTTCACTTCACACTTTTTTAATTTGACCAGGTAAAAATGTTTGAGAACCAGTTCTCATTTGCAAACATGACCTGGACACTTGCTGGTCAGCTGACAGTGGGAGCACTTAAACAGACTTATTTTTAGGGGACAACGTACATAGGACTGAGAACATGTTTTGTCTTAGGTTACATCCGCACCTTATGTATTCCAGGTGTGTGGAATTTACTTACTTTCTTGTACTTAATTTCTCTCAGCTATGAACGATGCTTCTGTTGCAGCAGTCCTAAAGAGTGATATCAAAAATAATGACATTTTTAAAAATTAGAAGGAAAAATTTTGTTGGCATTTTTCATCACAGCCACGTGCACAGTGCAGTATTTATTGAAAAATCTGTCACTCTGACAACTGCCTCAGAGTCTTTCTGCAAGTCTCTGTCTAGATCTATCCAGTATCTCTCACCAACTCGTAACTATTATATTCTGTACTACTGTACTGTATATAAATGATGACTTTAGTGTTATGGCCTGTGGCCACAAGGTGTGTGTGCGGGACCCAAAACGAAGAGGAAGCGGGCTAAAGGAATAACAGGCTTTATTCAGGGAAGCCAGGGTGTGTGGGACACCGGGAGGCAGGTGAGAGAATCCGGGGCAGGTGCGCTGGTTGCCACGGTGGAGGGTGATCTCCTGTGTAGTTGTCCGTGCGGCGGTGTCCATGCTGGTGCTTGTGTGGAGGAAATCCAGGCTCGTGAATCCGTGGAGGAGAACAAAGGCTGACGTAGCGAGCTGGAGATGCTGGACGCTGGGGCCGGTGGAGGAGACGCTGGAGAGCAAGAAAAACACATGATTACTCGTGAACTCGAAAATTCTAGCGAAAAGCACATGTGCTGAAGCTAGCAGCTGAATGTTCCACTCGTGGTGTTGGCAATCATCTGGCATCCAGCGCATAACGAGAGTGATGAGCTGCAGCTGTGTCAGTGCAGGAGCGTCCTCCTCCAATCAGCCCAGCCGGAGAACACAGAAGCACACACTGTAGCCACATCCCAACACATCAACCACCATGAAACAATGTGAAAACACAACACAATCACCACATTTAGCAAGATGTTAAGTCATGTCTTAGTTGAGTTGCAGACTATGGTCAGTGCATATTTTCCATTTGGATCCGGGGCCGTCTTGAAATATTTTAGTATGGACCAAAATGGCAGACCAATGAAGCTACAAACTGACATTGCCATCTGCTGAGCCAAAACAGGGCTTTGTAGGAAAACATTATGTTAAGTTTAAAGTGAACCATTACCATTCTCTTTATCATATCCAGTGAATATCTCCTTACAGTCCACTGTTTGTCCATTACATGTGTTCACAAAAAAAATAAAAATTCTAGTGTGTGTACTCAGGTCTGACTCTGTAAATGAGAAGCACCAAGTGTTTGCGTAACAACCACACTACAACAGCAGCAGTGTGTGCTCACACTGTAAAAATTATTAGGGTGGTTAAACTTCAAATATTAAGTTGAACTGCCACCTTAAAACTGTAAACTCATCTTTGAGAAAAGCTTTATTTCAGCTCAGGAAGGTATTTTCATGACCCTCCAGCCACAGCCCTCGCCTGTCTCCCCCTCCCCCCTTACTCAGCTTGACTCTCCCTCTCCTGTCACTGTTGCTGTGTACCTGATTGCAGCTATTGGAGACAGCTGTGTGGATCAGCTCACCTGAGCCCAATCATCCACCTCCTGTTATAAAAGCCCTGCTCATCACCACAGACAGGTGATTCCCAGACTTTTTCTGTCAGGGCCTCCGATTAAATAGTCATGAAATGAGCCAGTTTAAATTTACTGAAATTAAATAAATATCACGAGCAGTCAAATAGTGCAACAACTTTACAACATGCTCAGTGATCAGTTAAAGTAACGGGGGGTGATAAGCCTTCAATTTTGCAGTGGTTGTCTCATCAGTCATTGTTGACACCATATCAAGAGCAGTGGGGAGTAGGAGATCCTCAGCTATTGGGGGTGGTTTCTTGCATTCTGTTACAGGGCTCCAGACTAACTTTTCCAAAGGTAGCACTGGTGCTACCAACTTTCTTTGGTGGTCACACCAGCTAATGAATTGGTCGCCCCACTCCCTTATTTTGGATCAGCATTGCCACAGCTGTTAATCCACCATGCACAATGATGAATAGCTGTTTTTGCATAACTTAGTTTAATTGCATTGATTTTCAATGTTTTAACCTGAAAATATATTTATTTTGTCAGCAATCCACTTCTAATATCACTCATTAACTGGACACAGGCTAAACACTCACTGAAAATGCCCATGGGTAGATGCTACATTTTACTGATGTTCCCTAAACACCTCACACGCTGCTCTGGTAGATGCTACCAAGTATTTTTTATGAACCGACTTTTCTATGAGCTGAGGGCATTTTAAATGTGCATACTGTAATAAATGTTGTTTCTTGTGCAAATATGGCAAGAAATCACTGTCAATATGTCAGAACCTTAGAAATGAACACAAATGCAATTCAACAATAATACAATCTTTATTAGTCAATTCTCATATAGCAGAACAATTCATAAAAGGGGAGGTATGGGTGAGAGACCAACCACCATGTCCCACCAGAATGCCAAACAGTCCCCACTATAGCAACCCCACTCTACACACAGTGAAACCTGGCTACACTTCTAGCTTTAAGGCACACCAGTCGGAACACGGCACGCTATCACCCTCCACTGGGGCACTGCCAACAACACACACCACAGCACCACAAATGTCACAACTATATCAGATTGCATGTGACTCTGGAGGAGTGATTTGGCCTGACCACTTTCCCTCCCGGTATACATAAAATACACGTATGGTCTTTAAAGGTTAAAATTGTACTTAAGTCACCCGGATGGCAAGTTAAGTACAACAAAAGTACTCCTTTGTTAAATTCACCTGCCTGTATCTGTGTCCGCACCAGGGTTTCTGATACTATGACACGCAGAAGCATTGTAGACAACTTGTACCTGAAAAAGGAAAAAAAATACACACTTCAAGTAAAAATACACACCATAAACTATTTGTATCACTCATCACACATCTGTCCTTAAATTGTCCATGTCCAGACTGCAGGCAAAAATTGACCAAATCATAATCCTTTTTTCCTCTTCTTGTGGGCACATAATTGTTTTCATTACCATGAATAGCACAGGGAATCTAATGTTTGTATGTGGTCTTAAACCAGATACTGACCCCATTAATTCTATTTTTAAAAAAAATCAGGATTGCACTTATCAATTATTATTCTAAGTTATTTTTTTTTATTAAACTTTTTTTTTATTCCTCAATATAACTTATCAAAATGAAATCTGAAAATAAATCACGACTAGCATTTTAATACTTAATTCTATCATTAACATTGGTGTAGGGCAAGGAAAATGACATGACTGAGTTTAAGTTTCCCCTTCTACCTCTGTAGACATCACAAACATCACCTCATGTATGGATTCACAGACAGAGCGCTGAATCTTGATAGTGTCAGAGCAGTTGAAGCTAGCAGTTAATCAAAATGACACAGTTCCCCAAAACGAGCAACTTCCTTATAAAAGCTTCAAATGATGCCCTCAGGAATAAACATTTTACACAGAATTTCTGGCACAGCTGTTGTAACAAAAAACATCAACATTTTACAGGCGTCCATCATAAAAAGACTGAGTGTATGAGTATGCATGATATATGTGTATGACTTGGGGTTACACAATTGAAATTTGATTAAAATTGTTATATGACCTACTGCAATATAATAATAATAATAATAATAATAATAATAATAATAATAATAACAATAGCTTTTTTTGTGTAGCACCTCCAAGAACAACAATTCACAAAGTGCTTTGACAGAACATAAACTACAGGCAGGACAGGGCAAACACAGGTAAAACCAAAGTAATAAATAAAAAGAGCATGCAAATACACATCATAAAAAATAAAAATGTACAGAATGGATATCTAGTTAAAAACTGGTTGAAAAGGACGACATCACACAAGGGAATTATGAAAGAGAAAATCAAAAATCAAAATAGATTAAAATCAGGAGGTTAGAAAGAGGCAGAAAAAAATTAAAATGGATAAAAGGCCAGAGGGATATAAGAGAAATAAAAGAGAACTTCACTTGAAGGTGAGTCTATAAACGTGAGTTTAAAGAAGTGATTTAAAAGAAGTTACTGATTAAGCGAGCCTTATCTCCTCAGGCAGGTCGATCCAAAGCCGAGGGGTCCTGACAGAGAAGGCCTGGTCACCCTCAGATTTAAGCCTCGACTTTGATCTGATGATCCAAGGCTGGGACGTATGGGATTAACATGTCTAAAATATAGCCAGGGGCATGGCCCTGACAAGCTTTAAAAGTGACCAGTAAAATCTTAAAATCAATTCTAAAACGGACGGGGAGCCAATCAAGAGAAGCCGAAATAGGGGAGATATGATGTCATCTGTTAAAACCAGTAAGAAGCCTAACTGCTGCAATCTGGACCAGTTGGAAGCAGGAGTGGGATTTCTGTGGAATGCCAGATGAAAGGCAGTTACAGTAATCACAACGGGAAAAAATGAGGCCATGTAAGATTTTTTTCATGGTCTGAATGATGGAGGATTGATTTGCTTTTAGAAATGGTTCTTATCTGGAGGAAGCAGGACTGGATGACTTTGTTGATGTCGGGGGTGAAACTGGGTTCAGAGTCAAATACGATGCCTACATTTCTGGCAACAGGCTTTACATTTGTGGATAGTGGACTAAATTTGTTGGCGGTGAGGCTGTTGTGGGGATTTGAAAGGTTGAGACCTACGATTTCAGATTTGGAGTTGTT